AGATCAGGAGAGGGAGGGCAAGAAGGGTTGCCACCAGTGCTCAGTTCTCGTGGCCCTTTCTTACACACCCATTGAAATGCCAATCACCACTTTGGGGTCAGGAAGCAATTTTTCTCCAGGCCAGTTTGGCCGAGGATCCTGGAGGTTTTTTGTCAACTTCTGGGCATGGAGCAGGGGTCACTGGGATTGTGGGGGGCCGGCGGGCGTATTTGTTAATTTCCTGCATTGTGCAGGGGGTTGGGCTAGATGACCCTGGAGATCCCTCCCAACTCTATAAATCTTTGATTCCATGATGGTGCAGAGGCCTCTGGAGCTCTCTGTCCCAGCAACAGCTGGGTGCTCCTAGCAAGCTGAGAGGGAAGCCTGAAAGCAGGGCTGATTCACTCACAGACAGCTCAGGGTTCTCTCCCTGTTGGCCGAGGCTCCTTCCAGTCCTGAAGGAAAGGAAGCTCCAGAGGGGACGGCCTCTCCTTTAAGACCAAGAGGACTCTTGAGCTTGGGCCCAACCACCAATGGCCAGAGAGCTCAGCCTGAGTGGGCTTGAGTGACGATGGCACGGGCGGGGTCTCCAGTCCTGCCCCGACCCTGGAAGTCGGTTGGCTGGAGAAGATCCTGCCCACTGGATTACCCTAGACTGGTGGTGGGGAGAACAGGAGGAAGCCACTTTCCCAGATCTGAACATAAGAAGGCAAAACCCGCTTATCCAGCAGTGGCGCAGTCACAAAGCACAAGATCTTCTCTTAGGCATTTTTTTTACCTGCTTTCCCTGCCCATAAGGAGACCCAATGAGGCACAGCAACATTATTTTCCCCCCACCCTGCCCATTTTGTGCTCACAACCACCATCCTGTTGTGTAGGTTAGGTGGAGACCAAGTGGCTGGCCCAACCTCTGCCAGCGAGCTACCCATGGCGGTGTGACAATTTCAACCTGGGCCCCTCAGATCCTGCTCCAACACTCTAAGCACTACGCCACGCTGGCAACTCTGTTTGGATTCAGGGTGCGCAGAAATACAGAGGCAAGTGACAAAGAGGGGGTCACTAGCACTAGCCAAAGGTAAAGGTCTCCTTGCTCGAAAGCCAGTTGAGTCCGACTCTAGGGTTGCGGTGCTCATCTCCGTTTCAAAGCCGAAGAGCCAGCGCTGTCCGAAGACGTTTCCGTGGTCATGTGGCCGGCATGACTAAACACCAAGGTGCACGGAACGCTGTTACCTTCCCACTGAAGTGGTACCTATTTATCTACTTGCAATTTCTTGCTTTTGAACTGCTAGGTTGGCAGGAGCTGGAACTAGAGATGGGAGCTCACTCCGTCATGCGGGACACACGGGTCTCGAACTGCTGAACTACCGACCTTCCACAGCCTGCAGTTCAGCGTCTTAACCACTTGAGCCACCGCAGCTCCATTGCTAGCACTAGCTGAGACCCAAATTAAACATGCCAAAGAGAATAACACACATGCCAAAGAGAACCTCGCTGGCAACTGGGCCGTGACTGGGGACGCTTCCAAAGGGAGGGGAGCTCAAAGCTGTCCACCATAAACAAAAAGGAGGGCCACAGGCGCCGCTTGAAACAATGCGATTTAGATACATCAGTCCACATTCACTTATTCTGCTTCTAAGGCACAGGCATCCAAATGATTCTGAGCATTTGGGAAGGAGTGGGGTGGTGGATGGCAAGGAAGGGGGAGGCAGTTAGTAGCTGGGTGAGATACTTGAAATCCTCTTTGGAACCTGTTGGTTTCTGTGCCCTCACACACTGCCTCCACTCTCCCTCAAATCCGGAGAGCAAGAAACTTGCCTTTTCTTTGTACTTACAATCAGAGTCGAGAACTTTAATACATCAGCTTACGTAGCTGCTATGTGAAATAAGCATGGCTTTGGGCAGGCCTCGCTTAGGCCCCCAGGTGGGAGGGGAAGTGTGCAAAATCAGAAGGCAAGTGCAGACCACGATACGCAACAAATACAAAAACACCTCTTTGTACCAATTCCATACTAGTAGAATGCATGGGGGGGGGGGGGACAAAAAACAATGCACACTGTTCACCCGGACTTCTGTTTAAAACCGGCATAAGCTACTGCCCTGATCTGAGGAGCTCACCACCTACACAGGCAAAACCAAGGCCGCGCCTTTCACAGACATGTCATGCAGCTCATCACCACTCCAGGTGCTTGAACTAATCAAGGTTAATCTCATCCAGCATCACATGCAAAGCAAGCAGACCGAAACGGACATCAATCTGACCCCTTTCACCTTCTGCATGTGAATGGCTCCCCCCCCCCCTTCCAATCCTCCCTCATCAATCTGGCACACAAATCTCAACAGAACCCACCATTCCCTTCCACGCAGGAAATCCAACCAGGAACCACAAAGAGCTTTCCATCCCATCTTCCTCAGACACAACCATGCTCTCCCCTGGCCTCAGTCATCTGTCTGCTGGCTTCTATCCAAGCCAAGCCATTTTTTCCATCTTGCCCAAGACTGCCAAGCATACTAGGGTTGCTAGGTAACCACAGGACACACTGACACCAACTGCTAGGCTGATCTAGAGGTGATGGGGGAATGGTGCTGGATGGTTGCTTAGCAACCGAGAAATCCTCACCTTTCTTCCCTGGACTTAATGGACAGGTTAAGTCAACGAGCAGCTGCTTGTGACTGGGAGCAAGAAGAGCAACATGGGCGACACATGAGCTGACTACCTACAACCCGCTGCAAGATCAGAACCAGCGCTAAAATGTCCCATTTGCCCAAAGGGCACACTGGGTTCAGCTATAATGGGTAAGTGCTTGCTACACGTTCTAGGGTAATCCCAGGATCAGAGACCAACTCCAGCCAGGTGGTTTCTGGATCTACTGCTGGATTTAGGATGGCACTGTATTGGGTATGAGAGTGGCACTGCATTCGGGTTCACGGGTGGGCAAAGCTGCCCCCCGTATATTAACTGAGCTCTCCACTGATGCCAGCCAGCCTTGTAATCTCCAGACCAGAGGCTAACATTCCAAGAGGCACAGAGGACTCATAGGCAGCCCCTTCTAGTATGCAGGCCCTGTGCCTGTGCAGCAGTTCGGGGCGGGGGGAGCATCAGAATGGAGATCCTGAGAGCACAAATGAATACATAGAAAAGCAAGACTCGAACTGCTTAGGCAGTGAAGATATGCTTGAGAATATGCAAGGCAACACCTGCCGAAAACTGCAAAGCCGGAGAACCTATGAACAACACTTGTAGGGGTTTGAAGGGGTGGAGATCCACTGCCCACGTCCTTGCCCCTTCCTAAACCTGGCAAACCATGTAAAATATTAAGCGAATCTGCACAAGCGCCCTTTACACAGATTGCAGAATTTGGTTCTTCCATGGAATTTCAGTGTCTTTTCAGCACACACACACTCGGCCAACGGTAGTCTCCAGCAGGCAAGATGAGATGCTGGACTCCACAGAGATTTAGAACCTGCCAGCTTCCCACCCTCGCGGTCCTTCAGGATTTGGCATTAGCTGTTTCCCAAAATGGACCAACGCCTGACAGAAGAACCCGTTCCCATTGGCTGCAGGGCTCCCAAGATGACCCAACTCAGACACGCCCATACGTACCTCGTTCTCCGCCTCTGTGAAGTGGGGTCACCGGGCTCCCCGTTCATCAGAAGGTGGGCAGTCGAGTGCGGGGGGCAGAGACGCAAGTTCTTCAGGAGCTCCTGCTCATTGAGGAAAGGTTTGAGACAGCCCCGTACCGGGGAGTTCCCCACGCTGCTAGAGCGGGTCAGCGAGCGAGACTGGTTGAACGGCCACGGTGGCTCAACTTCTTCCTTGAGAACTACAAGGGGGAGAAAGAGAACAAAGAGAAGGAAGTCCTCTAGTGTCCAGAATGACCCATGGTGGGTTGCAGAGAGAAGTTGTCCCCTACCACTACCCTCCATTTACCTATTACGCGTCCAAGGACGAGAGCAAATGCCTGCGAGCAGCCCTGAGTTCTTTCGAAAGAGGAGGAATATACTGGGAAGCTTCAAAATGGAGCTTTTCGTTTAACAAAGCAACCATTTAAACGATCAATGGTAGCGACCTCACAATCCATCTGGACTATATACATATCCTTCGCTCCACTACTGATTTTTGGGAAGAAATCTTACCCTGTTAACGCTCTCCAGTGTTACGTTTTGTAGGCAGCTAACAGTGAGACCAGCATTGGAAAAATGCGTGTTCTCCAAGCAACTTGCTACACGTTCTAGGGTAATCCCAGGGTCAGAGGCCAACTCCAGCCAGGTGGTTTCTGGATGTACTGCCGGATTTAGGATGGCACTGTACTGGGTATGAGAGTGGCACTGCATTGGGGTTCATCGGTGGGCAAAGCTGCCCCCCGTATATTAACTGAGCTCTCCACTGATGCCAGCCAGCCAGCCTTGTTATCTCCAGACCAGAGGCTAACATTCCAAGAGGCACAGAAGACTCATAGACAGCCCCTTCTAGTATGCAGGCCCTATGCCTGTGAAGCAGTTCGGGGCGGGGGGAGCATCAGAATGGAGATCCTGAGAGCACAAATGAATACATAGAAAAGCAAGACTCGAACTGCTTAGGCAGCAAAGATATGCTTGAGAATATGCAAGGCAACACCTGCTGAAAACTGCAAAGCCGGAGAACCTATGAGCAACACTTGTAGAAGTTTGAGGGGATGGAGATCCGCTGCCCACATCCTTGCCCCTTCCTAAACCTGGCAAACCATGTAAAATATTAAGCAAATCTGCACAAGCGTCCTTTACACAGATTGCAGAATTTGGTTCTTCCATGGAATTTCAGTGTGTTTTCAGCACACACACACTCTGCCAACGGTAGTCTCCAGCAGGCAAGGCGAGATGCTGGACTCCACAGAGATTTAGAACCTGCCAGCTTCCCACCCTCGCGGTCCTTCAGGATTTGGCATTAGCTGTTTCCCAAAATGGACCAACACCTGATAGAAGAACCCATTCCCATTGGCTGCAGGGCTCCCAAGATGACCCAACTCAGACACGCCCATACGTACCTCGTTCTCCGCCTCTGTGAAGTGGGGTCACCGGGCTCCCCGTTCATCAGGAGGTGGGCAGTCGAGTGCGGGGGGCAGAGGCGCAAGTTCTTCAGCAGCTCCTGCTCATTGAGGAAAGGTTTGAGACAGCCCCGTACCGGGGAGTTCCCCACGCTGCTAGAGCGGGTCAGTGAGCGAGACTGGTTGAACGGCCACGGTGGCTCAACTTCTTCCTTGAGAACTACAAGGGGGAGAAAGAGAACAAAGAGAAGGAAGTCCTCAAGTGCCCAGAATGACCCATGGTGGGTTGCAGAGAGAAGTTGTCCCCTACCACCACCCTCTGCCTTTCCATTTTCCTATTACGCGTTCAAGGGCAAATGCCTGTGAGCAGCCCTGAGTTCTTTCGAAAGAGGAGGAATATACTGGGAAGCTTCAAAACGGAGCTTTTCGTTTGACAAAGCAACCATTTAAACGATCGACACTTTATCATCTCAATGTTAGCGACCTCACAATCCATCTGGACTATATACATATCCTTCGCTCCACTACTGATTTTGGGGAAGAAATCTTACCCTGTTAACATTCTCCAGTGTTACGTTTTGTGTGCAGGCAGCTAACAGTGAGACCCGCATTGGAAAAATGCGTGTTCTCCAAGCACAGGCTACCCTGGAATGCAAGGGTTACCTTTTGCTGGCTCTCCAAGCCCTGAGACATGTTTGAACATTCACAGCAATACAGAAAGGGCAAATGAATCGTTCGCCTTTGAACACAGACTGCTTTACACCCCTGCAGCTTCTCGCCCGGCTACATGAGAGGCCTTCTAAGGAACGCCAGCTCAGACGTCCCAAAACGTAGGCAGCCTGCCGAATCGAGGAGCGGAATCCAGAGTGCCTTGACAAGGGCGTTGTTTCAGATCCAGCGTAGCCTTTTCTCACACTCCCTGGCTTATGGTTTAACCCAGACAGCCACTCCATCTTTCGGTAAGAACAGACAGGAACGAGTTCCACCGAAATCAAGCCCTGACCTGGATGTCTCAGGTGAGCCGGATCTTGTTACGCAAAGGCAGGCAACGGTAAGATCACCTCCGTTTGTCTCTTGCTTTGGAAACCGGCCAGGGGTGGCAAAACCGCAGCTCGGGAGCCGCGTGTGGGTCTTTCACACGGTCTAATTTAACATTAATAAAAAGCAAATCTGCATATTTTCCAATAAAAATGTGGGTGTGTGGTATTCGTTCATGTCTTGCAGCTCTCAAAACGCCTGACATTTATTCTGCGTGGCTGTTGTGTTAAGCGAGCTTGGCCACCCCTACCCTATGGGGTTTTCTGCCACCACCAAAATCAAGGGGAAAACGTACACATCCTCTCTGTCTCACAAAGTAAGCCATCCCTCCCTGTACAAGTAGGTCAAACTGGGTGCTGTACCTCCACCTGCCAGCCTGCCAGCAAGGAAAATGGCTTCCTCTCCCTGCCTTCACAAGCAGCTCTCTCAACTTCCCCCTATATGCACTATCTTACCACTCTACATTATTGTGGAGCTTTTTCATTCGCAGGACTGAACATGGCACCTACAATGGTTTTGCAAGGGAGATTTTTGAATAGGCCCTACACTATGGGGTTTTCTGCCACCACCAAAATCAGGGGAAAAACTTAACACATCCTCTCTGTCTCACAAAGTAAGCCATCCCTCCCTGTACAAGTAGGTCAAACAGGGTGCTGCACCTCCACCTGCCAGCAAGAAAAATGGCTTCCTCTTCCTGCCTTCATAAGCAGCTCTCTCAAGTTCCCCCTATATGTACTATCTTACCATTCTACATTATTGTGGAGCTTTTTCATTTGCAGGACTGAACATGGCACCTACAATGGTTTTGCAAGGGAGATTTCTGAATAGGCCCAACACTGATAGAATTTGCCCTTGTGGCCTTAACAGGATTGATACTTCCTTTCACACCCTGTTGGAATGCAGATTTTTTGAGATTATGAGGGGTTAGTATATTAAACCTTTATTCAACCAATCATCCCCCTCTGGAAACTCTGGCTCTTTTGCTCAGTTATAAGGATCCTAAGATCACTCTAGCAATCGCAAAATTTGTCTCAGTCCTTTTAGCCCTTGCATCTAAAAAATAAGAAAGAAGTGTTTTCCGCTGCTCAAGATCCGTGAATCAATGAGCTTCTAAGGATACAAAAAGAAAATCCTCTCAAGTGAAGTCAAGTTAGCCCCGGCTCCCTCCAAGAGGGAACTGCTCACTTTGTGATCTAAAAGACACATCAGGTAAGAATCTCTTACACTCTCGGTCTGACAGGGAGTAAGGTTTTATGTCTTCCTCCGGACGCTTGGGAGGCAACTTCCTCGCTGGAGCTACAGGGAGAGAGCAGAGAGAACACTTAGAATATTCCAGTACAAAAGGGTGCCCGCAGAGTTATCAGCCACCATTTTGAGGGGATATAAGGTCTTCTGAATACCCAAAAGTCAAGCAATGAGGAAAAGCCTTTCTAAAATGGATGGATAAAATAAAAAGGACAAAAACCTGAGGGGTGGTTGTTTATGAATTACTTCAGAAGAGAAGAGTTCCCAAACAGTAGATTAGGTATATGATTAAAAAAATATTCCTCTCATTGCTGAAAGATCAACCACGGCAATTCAACAAATTTCCAGAGCTGTTCTCACTAGCAGAAGACCCCCCAACATTTGATTACAGTAACAGCCATACGGTTTGCAGATTCCTGGCTGATGCTCAGTTCATTAGCCATGGCTATGTTATTCTACAATAAAATCATCTTCAAAAGATGAAATATGTGAGCTCAAGTTGGCAAGGAATGAATGTGAGCTTCTCTTTGTCTGACTCCATGTTCCTGTTCATGGTTGTTACAGCAGCTGCCTGCTTTCCTCTGCAAATATGAGGACTAGAAACTAGAAACTTGCTTTTTAAAGGTTTAACACAAAAGGTGATACTCGTGTTAAGCCTTGAGGCAACACCAAAGTAAGGGGACAGAGCAGGATATGTTGATCTATGGAAAGATGATTCAATCCTTGACAGCATTCTCTACGCACAGCTGAAGTAGGCAATTTTAAACTGGTCATCTGTGAAATTCACTGTTCTGAGCACAAGCTTGGAGTGCTCAAAGTAGGATCCTATATGGGTTCCAGTAACTTTTACTGGGGTCACAAGGTTGCCGCAATTCAGAAATGACTTGACGGCATGTAACACACACAGCTTTTAGTGGGTAGTGGCAACATGAGCAAAGAACTCCCTTCTTGCCTGAGAGAAAGATCTCTGTGCAACCTAGACGTCTGCTGTCTTAACCCCAACAACACAGCTGATTCACTAAGACCTGGATAACAACCACCCTTCTAACAAACAGGGAGGTCAACTGCATCAGTTCAGTGAAACTCTCGCTTGAAATTTCAGTCTATTTTTGGATTCCAAGAAAAGCCATTTATTGCCCACAGACTTGACCTCATTACAAATGCAGCATGAGGTAATGGCACAGGTCATTAATGGCCTTTAACGATCTTTAACGCCTTCTATGGCCTCGGATCCACTATCTATAGGACTCTCCCTTTCTCTAGGTCCCTGTGAGCCAGCTGCAGTCCTCAGCCTGGCATCAACCCCAGGCTGTGCCTTCTGCTTTGTGGAGTGAGTGCCCTGAAGAGGTAGAGAGGGTATCTTTAGCAATTTTTAGAAGATGCAACAAGGCAGTTTCATTTGGCAGGGCTTTTAGCTGGGTATAGACTGCAGGCATCTTTGGGGGGGGTCTGGGGTTTAATTTTGGATCTGGTGTACAGTTTGGTGTAGTGGTTAAGTGTGTGGACTCTAATCTGGGAGAACTGGCTTTGATTCCCCACTCCTCCACATGCAGATGCTGGTGTGACCTTGGGTCAGTCATAAATTCTTTCAGAGCTGTTCTCTCAAAGGCAGTTCTCAAGAGAGCTCTCTCAGCCCCACCTACCTCACAGGGTGTCTGTTGTGGGGAGGGGAAGGGGAAGGAGATTGTAAGCCGCTCCGAGACTCCTTCGGGTAGTGAAGAGCAGGGTATAAATCCAATCTCTTCCTCCTCCTCCTCCTTCGGCTTTAAATCGTGACGTTCTTGACTAATTTTGTAAGCTATCTTGGGCCACCAAGAAAAGCGGCATATAAATATTGAAATTAAATATGTCATCTCTTATTCAGTCCAGAGTGGGAAACCAAGCCCCATGTGTAGCATACACAGGTTCCATAAGCAGCAAATGTGAGTGCTAGGTGTACACCACACAAGAATATGACTCTGATACATTAGTTGAAATCCTGGGCTGCTCAGGATTAAGACCTCAACACAAGAACAGCGGCAAAACTGGGAGCGGTCAACCACTCAGAAACTACAAGGTGGATCATCCTCTATATCACGCCACCACCTCCCTGGGGCTTGCGCCGGAGCGCAGTGGCCCCAGGGAGCAAAGAGGAGGCCCGTCGCCGGCTCCCTGGGGCTTGTGCCGTAGCACTGCCACCCCAGGGAGGCCAGAGGAGGCCCGTCACCGGCTACCCGGGGCTGCCCCCC